CCCACACCCACACCCACACACCCACACCCACACCCTCACACCACACCCACACACCCACACCCACACCCACACCCAAAACTCTTTCCCTCATCTGAAGCAGTATGAAGTTCTCTTTCAAATAAAAGCAACTCGAATTCAGCAGCTGGAAGTCTGTTAGAAAAAAATTTGTCCGCGTAAAAGCCCTGTTTTGGAGCCTGGTCCATGAATATCATCTGAATGGTAAGTCTTAGAGCCTTGAATTTTTTTTTGCTAATATACTTTCATGAGTCCAACATCTATGCAAAGTTTCATCAATTTCCCATGTACCCTATCGGCATTAGATTTTTGAGGCATCTCTTAATATTCATAAACTGGTGAGGGAGTCGATACAAAGGTAGAACGAACAAAAAAATAATAATAACTCACACTTTTCAGGCGTTCGTTGCACTCCTCGTATGTCTTTTTTTTATTGTGGACATGGATACTATTATAAATGTATTTAGATTTCATTGCACGTGCTCTTTTGCTTTTCTTTTCTTTTCATACATTTTATTATTTCAAAGAAAAAATAAGACTCATGTCGTTAGTGGTGAGACGCCTTTTTTTGTGCTTTTTCTTTGAGAATGACAACCCTCAATGATTTAAATACTAAACAACTACAAGACCTTGTTAGTTGTGCTATATGTTTGGATTATTATCAAGATCCACGTGTTCTTCCTTGTTCGCACACGTTTTGTTTTAAATGCATTCAGCAATTGGTTAAAGATGGCACACTTATTTGTCCCTTACGAGACGATGTTATAATGTATAAAGATAATATTGAGAAACTACCAATCAATCGAACAGCTAAAGATATGGCAGATTTTGTGCTAAGTATTAACCCATTTAGTGGTAAAAAGTCTTGTCAATCATGCGATAATTGTAGTGAAAATAATGCAGTAAATTGGTGTGACGTATGTGCTGTTCATTACTGTGAATCTTGTACACAATCAATACATTCAATAAAAGCATTGCAATCTCACAATATTGTTCCATTGACAGAAAAAGTGTATTCGATTTGTTCGGAACATCCAGACGACAAATTCAAATATTGTTGTAGCAAATGTGAAGTTCTTGTTTGTCGTGACTGTTTATTATTCAAACATAGAGATCACACATTTATGTCCTTGAAAGATGCAGCAATAGAAGCTAAAATAAAATTTCAAGCAATTGGTCAAGAAATTGACAAAATGAAAAAAAATTTAACAAAAGTTTTAGATGAAACAAAAAGTGTCACTAATCAACAAATTCAAATAGTACAAGAACAAAAGCAAGATATTGAACAAACGTTTGTCACACTGCAACGTATATTAGAAGAACGAAAATGTACGATTATACAAGAGTTAGATAACAATGAATTACAAATGACGAACCTACTAGCTCAGCAACAACGTGATATAGATCAATATCTTAATTTCACCATTGTCCAAGAACTATGTGTAAAAAGAATGCTGAATTCCAATGATCCAATGCAAATATTAAAACTTAAATCCACTTTATCTCAGAACGCTAATGATTTTGTTGTACAGTATAAAAAAATCGGCGAAGATTATACAATAATGAGACAGGTGTTCGAGAATAATGCCACACAATTAAAACAAATTTCTGAGATGATTTCAAATTTTGGTAGTATCAGTAGTAAACCATATGTAATAAAAGGATATGGCAGTACAACTAATTCACTAAATATCTCAAAACCAGACGGTGATACTGTGTTAACTCAAAAACACATAAATTATGCCCGTGGTTACAAATTCGCATTGAAAGAGTCGCTCCAACTACATTCGATTCAGATACAATCCGATTATGTTGGACAACACATAGGCTTTGTGGTTAATGTTGATGGTGTTATTAAACAGAGTGAGACAGTTAATTCTGGTGATTCAACAATGAAATCGTTAACTATTCCATTGCAATGTGATATAAACAATAATGATAGTGTGATTGTTTGGGCTCCATCCGGCAACGGATCGTATGCATTTAAAAGTGGTAATATCTCCTATCGTACAGTCAATGAGAACTGTTCTGTTCAAAGCAAAGGTATTCACTCCGCACCAACAACGAATGTAGGTTCGACAGTGAAAATAAGTGATAACTGTTATTCGATTGACATGATACTAGTTATTGATTAATATTGATGGCAGCAAAAACCTTGTTAGTATACCTTCTTTCGAGATTGATATGCGGAAATTACATCTGGTTTCTTTTTGCACATACTAAAGCACTACAAAACGCATACAGTAAGGCATCAACGTAGCTGGGCTGGGTTGTGTTGCATAGTGGGTGTGGATGCGGAGAGGCGTGTAACAAACCCGAACTCAACCTCGAGTTTTGATACTGAGTTTTCTGAGATTAAATGGTGTGAATGTGGTTGTGGGTGTGGGTGGATGAGTGTGGGCTGTGGGCATACAGGGTGTTTCATAAGTTTTGAGACGCGACAAAATTAGTTTACCTGCAGACAGAGAATAACTCCTAATCGAATGTATTTTATATGAGATTTAAGTACTCGTGACGGCCTTTCAAATGATATAAAATTCAATGACATCTTCTCTTGTAATAATAAAAATACAACCATAAGAATATAATGATAAATTTTTCGAAATCAACCAACAATGCGAGTCTCCTACAATAAGTGATGATAAATAGTTAATGATATTTTTCATACTTTTTTCTTGACATAGAGAGCTAAAATTTTTATCAAATATATATCTAATCAAGATCTTTTATTTGTGAAAGTTTCAGCATTCTAGTTATAACTACTGGTGAAATAGATAGATTTCGGGGTGTGCGTGTGGGTGTGAGTATATGTGGGTGTGGGTGTGGGTGTGGGTGTGGATGGGTGTGCGTGTGGAACTTCCTTTAGCCCACACCCACACCCACACTCCACCCCCACCCCCACCCCCACCCACGCCCACACCTACATCCACACCCACCCCCACCCACACCTACATCCACACCCACCCCCACCCCCACCCCCACCCCCACCCCCACCCCCACCCCCACCCCCAC